GAACGTGATTAAAATGCAGATTAATAGTGGTAAATATCCACAATACATCCGTGCTACACATATTGAAATTTCGCATGATTAGATCCAGTAGGGAAGGAGTTATAACTGAAAATTACAACTGAAGAAGCATTTCGCCTAATACTTTTGAGCGCTACTGTATGTACATATATACATTTACACATTATACATATATAGCTATGAAAATACATATATACATACAAGGTGCGCCATAAATATGGTAACAAAGGGATGGTGCTACAGAAATCGCATTTCACATTGATACATGGTGAATTTATATAAGTTATTTACTATGCATCGCATCTACAAATCGACCACTTGGTCATCTTATATGACCGTCTCCTGTACTAAGTATAGCTAAAGACGCTTCGGCTACTCATCGACGGTTGTACACAGAGTCCCTTGAGAAACTCTAGCCCGGAGTTTTTCTACTGATTTCTTAGAAGCAGTAACAGTGGTGCGTATTGAAACGCAGGCTTTCTTTTTCAGTGAGGGCTATGTAAAGCGACCCATCACAGTGTGCTTCGGGATTCTCGTAGGAGGATTGGAAGCTGCGATAAATTCACGAATATTTCCTAAGCATCAGTCTTGATCTTTTCCCACTAGTGAGCAAGTGCGCCGTAGCTTTTGAATCGTATCCCTAACAAAATCATTGACCTTCGGCTGCATCCTTTCAGAAAAACCCTCTCAAAGGAGTTCGGATTTGATTTTGCACTTTTCCGACCAAAATTTGCGATATCAGTCTAGTGGTAGAGTTTCTAGCCCAAAACATCGTGAAAGTGGAAACGAGAGTGATCTGACTCTTCTTAGCAGCATGAGCACCCATAGTGAGAAATATACGTACACTCTCAACATTTCTTCCATGCTGAATACCCTTTAGTCAAAAAAAGGTGCGTCGAATTGCGTGCGCTGCTCGCAAGTAGCGCACAGCACTTTTTTCCAACTTATATTTTCGTCAAGAGGCTTGAAACGCTTTCAAACATATCTAGAGACAATTGCATTTACTCAGAGTAAACTCTTCTGATCGGAGTAGAACATACAAACAAATTAGCAGCCATTTTTCTTGTGTTTCTGCAGGTTCCGCAGCGTACTCCTTCCCAAGCAACTGTATTCGGAAAAGGGGTTGTNTATGAGACAAGACGACTGTATTGAGGTTTGCCGTTGATCTGTCTACGCATCGCGATTCAGGAGACTGTCATGTGGGAAATGTTGAAACGAGGAGCGATCTTGGATAAGGACTCACCAAAGCGCGCGAAGACGGAACGGTCGGTAGATGACTACGAGGCTTCACCGTTTTTCAAAATCTGACGAGCACTAACGTAGATATGTGGGCTGAGGTATATCATAAACATAAGGGATGGTGCAGATTCGGAGGAACCCTTCAAACAAGGGAATCACGGACCTCCGGAAAGTTGTTACCATATTTGTGGCGCACCCTGTATATACATGTATACATATATACATATAGACATATATACATATAGACATATATACATATATATACATACATATATACATAAGTACGTATATACGTACATACATACATACAGACAGACATACGCTGACAGACAGACATACATACATGCATACTACATACATGCATATATGTTTGTATACCAAATTGTGGTATGCACGAAAATTAGTGTTCAGGAGAAATTCGTAACTCCTCCCGTGAACCCATATGGTCGTTAAAATTTGGTAGGGGCACAGGCGGCAGTACGGGAATGCTGATTGTAGGGGCACGACAATACCACGCCAACAGAAGGCGCGCGTGAGTGATAAGTTTTGATTTAGACCGACTTACGTACGAAGACAGGAGCAAATGAATTAACTAGATCCCCCCTCCTTCCCTTGCCGGGGAGACTTGTAAGGAATGGAGGGGCGGAGCATGGTATGAATGTGGCCTTAGTTACGCAGTCAAGTTGAAATAAGTAATGAACCAGGTTACTCGACTCGAGCAAGCATGCCGGGTGAAGCGCGCACGAAGTGTGTCATTTGTGTGCTTGTGTTCTGCTTGTGTTCCGCCGGAAGGCAACTCCCGTTCTCCTAGACCAGAGCGTCAGCGGGTCAACAGAAATGAAGAGAAGGAAGGCCAGACATTGACACGACGATCCGACTGATATGCATATAGAAGGATGAATCTATACCACCTACCGACACAGGGATCTCTTCAGCCTCCTCCCGAGTAAAATCAATTGCTGACGCGCGTGCCAAACTGACTGGCTCTTGAACCTGTTGCAAAGGATCGATAATAACGATAGATGTTGTTGCCCGAGTATGCTTAGGCACTCTGTATCGTGCCGTTTCGTCTGAAAAAGAGTAAATTTGAAAAGTGTTGAGGTTGTGGTTGAAGAGCAACAAGGAGCGTCGCACATCACCCAGCTGATAACTTCAACTCACACTCCACGACGGAATTCTCCGATTCCCTCTTCTTGCGTCCCCATGACTGCCGTTGCCCCCCAGTTAATCCGCACTCAACCTGAAAATCAGGAATTTTCACTTGAAATTTTGTCAACATGCTAACCAATGCCAATCTTGTGACGAGAGTGGCATCATCTGCTAATGTTATCATGTTGCCAATAGTACCTATGCTCAATCTAATGAGACGAACTTATACGCGAACCATAGTGCATATCACGGCGACGCAGTGGTGTTCAGTGGTATTAGCATGAGCACTGCACTATGACAGCATGACCTTCGCATGCGTACATTTCCAACCAAGCGCTACGTGACAGCTTGGCGACATTACATGCATCACTGCATCAAAACTGAGTATATTCCATGCTTTTTTAAACTGAGTATATTCCATGCTTTTTTAACCCATGAACCTGTCTTTTCGCCTCTGTTGAAAGATGAGCACATATGAACTTACCGGGGTGCAGTCTCCTTTACAGATGTCGAGCTCGCAAGTGACTCTGACAGAACTAGAAGAATCAAAGCGGAACGCTTGCATTCGTGCGACCTTCACCGACGTCGACTGCACTTCTATTGGACCGGGAATGAGTTTCTGAGCAACAGCCGGTGTTGGACATCTAGAAGAAATATTAATGAAGAATGAAGGCCTCGCACCAATTGTATCACTTTCGCGCATGATCATACAGACAGGGCTAAGGAGAGAACTAGACAAAGTACCATGTTTCGACGGAATTTCTCCCACTAACACATAAGTCGCAACTACGTCTTTGAAGGAATTCGGTCAGTGATCCAAAGTTTTCAGAAAATGATGGACATGTCAAGTGATATACAATAGTGCTCAAAAGTGTTAGGTCAAACGCTTTCACGCCTTTTCGTTCATAATTTTCTTCTTAGTAGAGCAAATCACGCAAAATTTTGATGTGTTTAAATAACAATAAGGCATATTTCACACTATCCAATACTACTTGATTGTAATGCAGCAATGTCCACATAACAAGAACAAGATGTTCATGAGGCAGCAGATTTCGCTAAAAGCAAAGTTAGTGAAGTCTGCAGTTATTCGCACCTTATGTGCGTCATTCTTTTCTGCTGTGTTCGGCATTAGCGCTCGTACACTTAAGACATGGAAAAAGGGAAGAAATTCTAGAAGGACCAATATCTGTATTTCCAATCGATTTTGAGTTGAAGCCCTTTGGGATAATTGAAACATGATCAGATTGAGGTTGATAGTGGTAAATATTCACAATACGCCCATGCTACATATCGAAATTTCGCGTGATTAGATCCAGAAGGAAAGAAGTTACGGCTGAAAAGTATGACTGAAGAAGCATTTCACCGAAGACTTTGGAGCGCTACTGTATATCGATACCATTCGATTCGCCCGGGTAACGCCGGGCTTCCCTCCTTGTACAGCGAAGTTGTAGTAATCGGCTAACTCCTCACTCCTTCTTGAATCAAATGATATTTCCCTGTTCACGAAGTTTGATACAGGACTAAAGAGTAATGCAAATGGTAATCAGTGTAAGTCGGTGCTTACGCTTCTCATTAGAAGTCTCAATCTTTTGCTTTTTTTTCTTAAAATTGAAGAGCCGTCAAAGATTCGACTGTTTGGCAAACAAGGCCTTGAGAGGTACTCACAAATCTTTCGACTGTGTGACATCATTATCATGTCGTTATCAATGGACCTCTTTACAGAGACATTATTAGACGAGTATTCCATATTACTGGCGGTCGATTAAGTTTTGTCGCAAATGATATTGAACAAAGAGGATCCTTCAACGAATGCACAAACCTTGCTGACTAGCGGTCGTGATAGCGGTCGTGAATAGCAAGAAATGAGCAAAAATATTCCATCTGCTTATCGTAGTACCGCCAATGGATCCCTATTACTGCACTTACCACTCACTTTTGCCACCTTACTCTACCATCCCGTCTTATCGAATGAAACATACTGGACTGTCAGGGCAGCATCGTAAATACCGAAGGGGTGAAGAATATAATCGGTCGATGGCTCTTGCTTTCTTAGACTCCTTACCTTCTTCTATCAGTCAGCAGTTGGGCTACACACGCTAACGCGTGCATCACATGTCCATGACTGCTCATCTACGATGGAACCATTCAGCGGTATGTTGGATTATCAGTATAAGACAGTTCTATCTAGACTTGGCTGAACCGCTTTGAGAGCAGAACGCTCGATCTGTTTCATTTGAGCAGAATTATTATTTGTTGATCATAGCCCCGTCCACCTCATTTCGGGCACCTCCCACTGTAGAAGTTTGACTACTCTTCTTTTAACTGCCCCTAACAATTTTCTCCGCATTCTAGAATGGCTTTGAAGAAATTCATGAAGTTTTGATCTAGTCCCACCCTACCCCGTGTAAACTCGGCCCGAGTCAGGAAATTAAACATCCATTCTCGACTTATTATAACCACTTTCGCCCCGAATTCTGGAACTTTTGCGGACAGTTATAAATTTTTAATCTAAGCTCCGCCCAATTCAGTGTAATCCCCGCTTATTTAGAGGATTTGACCACATTTGTTCCATTACCTAACCTACTTAACTACCTTTCGTAACTCCTGTTTACGTGGACCTAGAACGTTGAAAGTTGGTAGGAGTACAGGGGACAGGATTGGAACACTTATGGTGGGTGGCAGGACCGTACTCCGTTCGGAGGGGGGGGGGGGGGGGGGGGGGGGGNGGGGGCGGAGGGCTGCGGGATAGAAATATTGGACCGCGAATTCATAGCTCTCTGTTTATGTGGTCTTAGAAGGTTCAAATTTTATAGGATTTTCGTATTAGCAATGGAACCTCTGCATTTTAATAAGTGATGAAGGATATGACGGGATCGAAGGCTTCATTCAATAAGATAGGATGGTAGTGCAGGGTGACAAAAGTGAGTGGTAAATGAAGTGATAGGGTTCCATCAGCGGCACTACGATAAGTAAATGAGGATTTTGTTTATTTCTTGCTACTAGATTACGACCGCTATCCAGCTAGGTGCTGAGAATTACAATCAAATCTACAAGCACATTCGCTAACATCACGTGCTATAACGTGCTTATCAAAATGTGCCCCATGAGCGTGGATGGGCCCAAAACTTGCGGCCAAACCCTATGTATGTTGCACGCAGGTATCCTCCTTCATTTCTACCCATCCATTCTTGAGTCTTGCTTCAAATCGGGACTGCAAACCCAACAGGGTCTCTTCTAATCAGGGCCACTGTCGGGTTTGCAGCCCCGATGTGACCATATGGAAAGTCAAGAGAGTGAAGACCTTGAAAACAGGATAGTCATCTCTCTTTGCTAATGAATTCGGAAGCTAGGCACTACTACCGAGCGAGCTTGGCTCAGTGGGCTCGAGTACCGCCCTACTGGAAAGACCGCAGCTGTTTCAGGAAGTGGAGTCGGATAAGTACTTCAGTACGTTAATCAGTATGTTTCTAAGCACACGTCTTTGTCACTTTTCACTTAGTAATGTGCAATTCCGACTGAACCAGCGGCGTCTCACCCTTGCCAGTGACTCCCTCAAAAAGCATCATTTTGATGTTCTTATGGCCACTTTTCTGAGGAATTGCACAACCGATGTTCATAACCAGGATGCGATCGTTTAATTTCTTGAAGAACAGTTTTTACGTAAAAATTCTTTAGCTAGAGAAAACGATGGAGGGTTGCGTGTCTCCACTCAAGTGAGTAACTTTTTGCATTTTTTGACCGCACACTGTCTGTTGAACAGGGAGACGAAGTGACATTTCTGTGTAAGATTGGGATCGCAATGAAGCTCCTGCTTGGCATCCGCCCCTCGACAACCTCGATAAGTCCTGCGCCTTTGCCGTCTTTTTGATGGGTCACCCAGGATCACGATCGGCTCGCAAGGGACCAATTTAATAGTCCTATCTTTAGAAACACTATTCTTTCTACCTCTTCCTGGTTAGTTTTTGGATGAACCTTCTTCTCTGTGTCGTTTAATCGGATANAAAAAAAAGAAAATTTCATCAGTTATTCGGTTATGAAGCAAAATAATGCGATATAGTCGAATGGTAGCACCTAAAATGCGAAACGCGAAAATGCTTAAACGAAAACACAGTACGGGAAGTCGTTTCTCACAGGGACCTTCAGTGAGAAAAATGCAATCAACGCAGAACTTTACGACAAATTTCATTACAAGACGTAACTTCAATTGAATACTACCAAGGATAATATCAAGAACTCATCGGAAAAAAAGTTTTGGGTAACAATGCGGTTAAGTACCGAGATAGTCACGTGTTTGTGTTGCATCACAACTAGAGCTAGACCTTACAACCGGCTCGCTGTACAAACAATGTTTTCATGCTTTCATTTTTGTAAGCTGCCGGAGGTAGTAGGATAATTATCCACAGATAAGTGGGGCAGGTGTCCTTTGTAAACCAACGCCTGCGTGTCTAATCAGCAAAACCACCTACTCCAAAATCACAGTTCACGGTGAAAATGATTTCTGCGATATCCCACCAGAATGAATCTATGGCTCCCCCGTATACTATACGTGGCGTTGCCAGATGGAGAAACGGCTCAGGCGGGGCGTTATGAAGGCTTAACGAGTATGGGCTGTACGCTCACTCGAAATTGTAGGAGTTTTAACGGCGTTGTACATGCTGCGTTATTTACACGGGGCACCTATGCTGGAAATCCAAATCGCTCATCGTGACCCATGCCAGCAACGGAAGGCAGTTCCAGACAATTTGGCTTAATGTGGTCAGCTCTTCACGCAACTGCAAAAACTAAAATCTTCGAGTACTCCTTCCGTGTCAATTCCGTCATGGTAATCTTGTACAGGTTAGCAAGAAAGTCCTCCGACAAAATGGAAGCCATACTGAAATCATTTCCAAAATCTTCCAGATCAATCAAATTTTGAAATATATTCACCAGAGAGATCGACAACCTTCGCTAATCCTTCGAGTTGAATCAGATGTGACTCAAAGAAATCATTGATTGCTGTTTCCAGATCACATTAAAGGCACAGTCCACGATAAAAATGGTTTCTGAGTTCTCCTCTAGGAATACCCGGAATACCCAGCTGCTCCCAAGAGTAACAGGAAGGACGCTCTTGGGTCCCAAAACTCAACAGCTAGGGCATAGTGAGAGTCCCGTTACCGGATCGCCCGGATGCCCCGCCTCTCGACCGATGATGTGTCAAACGAGTGTCGGAGCGATACAGATTGCAANATTCGCGCCAGGATCCACACACCATCAGCTGATTGCCGAGTTATGAGGTGATGTTTTTCTCCCATTTTTTCTGTTTTATTCTTTTTCCTGCTGCGATCCTTATCCTGATTCATGCTTCATAGGCTGGAAAAGATAGCCTATTTTTTGCTGTTCTTAGGGCTTTTTGTTAACTTATGCTTATGAGAGAATGAATTTCAAAGTACATTTTCGCTTGTAGTCAGTTATTCGCACCAGGACTTACCGTACGCAATGACACACGTATAGTCCGTCCCCATTCTTCTTCAATTTCCCAGTCATCAGCGATTTCTTCGAAACAATCTTCACTTCCGCCGATTCGCGTGTTCTCTTAGCCTATATCACAATATTTTGGCTAACGCATTGGCCAAATTCGGGGCTCGTAGGGCTGGGAGACAGCTATCTAGCCCACGCTTAGCTATTCATAACGGGTTGGTCCTTTCACGCCACAGAAAGCTATGGTACGATGTTTGCGTTACTTCGAAGGCTAGTATCCCCTACAGTGACGCGATCCCACCGAGTGTTCACTTTTGATCGGTGAACAGCGCTAGCATGCTTCGGAAGCTTACGTACGTGTCCTTCTTTACTCACGTTTTGATTGCTAGGCAAGTGCCTCAATAGTTTGTCACCTTTGTTACCGTGTTCACATTGTTTAAACAAATTTTTAAAGCTTCAAATTTTTTTGCCACAGAACTTTCTTGCCGAACCTATACAACCTCTAATTTTCACTACTTATAGTGACTGTACTTCTTTCCACGGCAAGCGGCAGTGATTCCGCTGCGACTACCGTATCCTTCCATTGAAATTTCAAAACTGGTGGAAATCTATTGGGGGACAAGCCGGATTTAATCGTCCCGTCAGTGTGTGACAAAGTAAGCCAACACACGCTGAAGCGCCTCCAAACCACCCGTCACATATACGACGCAAACGACGCAAAGGAAAGGTACCCGAGTGAAGCCCACGAAAAGGGAGGTGTGGTACTAGAGGGTTACGGTGCCACACATTCACGGAACGTTAAATTCCCTCCAATATTGGGGTGAAGGGCGTCACCCTTCTGGATCGATGAAGTCCAGAGCGCAGAGATGGAGAGGTAGCCAATCCTACCTGTGTTTAGAGATGGTTTTTAGCCGAAAGAATGTTATTCTTACCGAACCATTGGAGGGGAGGAGCTCTGGGGTAAAATGATTACCTCGGGCAAAAAGCTGAGATGGTGTAAAAATTGAATATCCAGTTAGCTCAACCACCCCATGACTCCTTCTGTCAGGCAAAAAAAAACATTTCTAGGCTACGAAACGTTCCATTGCAGTTTCGGGGAGGAGTACCCAAACCCCTAACTCTTCCACTTTTCAAGTTGGAATCAGTATTCCAAAAGCATCGTGAACAGTGTCATCAAGATGATTTCAAGCCTTATCTCGCTTTGTAGTGGTTCGAAGCGTTAAGACCACTTACCCTCCCTGAATCAACTGCAGCTTCTCTTCAGCTTTTGCTCCTACACCAGGTTCAGCGAAGCAGTCTTTTACGAAGAAATCGAGTTCATCATCCATTGCCATGATCTCCCAACGCAATTCTAATATATCGCCGAGTTTAGCCTAAGAAACCAAAAAACTGATAAAGATTCTTATTCGTTGTAGCAACTGGGCTATATCGAAATATTGACAGTACCTGAACAACGGGTTGTTCTCCGTCACCGCTCACTAGTTGCATGAATACGGGATTGCCGAGCTCGATTTTTCCTCTCGGTTGTATCAGATTTGGTTCGGGACCTCTGTAATGAAAGCAGAATCACGGAAACGTGAAAGTAGTTTCACAACAACTTTGGGGAATAAAAGGAGTCAATGAAACTTCTTGTAATTCACTCCAAAAGTAAATACCATTTGGGATGAGTAATGTGGAATTATGCACAGTCGTAACTTACAGCACAGTCATATTGTATCCTGCTTGGACTTTCCCTCCAAGCATACTTGAATAGTCACATGACACCTCGTACAGCTGGTCCATAGAGGTTACCAGTCCAGGAATACCAAGATTATTTGTTTGTATGACCACAGTTGTTTTGTAAGTGCCATTCAACTGAACGTAGATAGCAATATATATCTCTAATTGGAACAGTATTCGATAATATATAATGGCGCCCAGAGGTCAAGGCACTCGTTGGTGTTTGACCTACCATGTCAATCAAGCCACAGTCACGGCTTTCAGCTGCCTGGCGTTTTTGTCGGAACTCCTCACGCTCATCCTTTACTCGCTCAGCTTTTTCATTTCTCTTTCCGTCAGGTTTTGAAGTAGTCTTTAAGTACATTTTTATACGAGTTCATAGAGAGAAGTTCGCGAAAGTCTGCTCATGATTACCTCTTCCAGTCCTTCTAGTGAAATCGGTCGCATACCAAAATCTCTAGGTAGTCCTAAGACCAGAGTTGCAGAGTTTGAATTTGCTACCTGCAAATGTTTCCATTTGCTTATAAGGACCTTGACGGCTTCATCTAGTTTCACAAAATCCTATTGTTTGTTAATTACCTCTTCAAATCACATCTAAATAGTTTCCATGTTTCTACTTATGGAAATCTTTTTTTGTTCCGTCATAACTGCACCTTATGCAATAATATTAGTTGATACTGAATGCCTTTTGTATTGGATAATTAGGAGATTATAGGTTGAGTTTTCTTGTGATCATTTTACTATATTTTCTCCATACGGTTAGAAGGACATGCCAATTTAGATGTTTTCAAACCGTACAAACCTCCACACGGCATGTGTCGTATTTGTTCTTTACGAAAATCACACCACTAAATGATGCTCCATTGTTCACTTGGACCTAGAAAGGAAGAGGTGCGATTACAGTTTTTGAAAACAAGGATTTGGCCAGAATAAACAAAAAAACATTCTTCTCGCACGTATTCATAAATCTATCTATTTTACACCCTATGATCTTATTGATAAGGAATTCGGGTGAACACAACTCGTAACGGTTTCATGTAAGCAGTTTTCTCTAACCTAAGTGCTTAATGACCCAACTGACAGTTATACAAGTGCACGCGTTGCAAGCGCACATGTTGTAAAAATGACCACATGCTAGAGGTACAAAAAAGAACTTAAACAGCAAAATCAGACAAACCCTACTTGCGGCGGTTGCATCGCGGCCTTCGCACTGGAGCACGTAAATTTGGGTGTCTAAGCACTGCGGGAAGGCAGCGATGAAGGGAGAGTTGCTCTGTCGTAACTCTGCTTATTGGAGGTTACATAGGGCATTCGAGCACGTTATTTTAAGATGATTACTGATTGTAAGAAGTAATTTTCTGTGATCAATGGGTTGTTAAATTATAGTTTGGAATCATGTCTTTTTTTTCGGCATGTTTCCTTGTTCATGTTTCTTCCAAGACCACTGATGGCTAGCTACCCTTCTCAAGTGAATGACCGAACACTGTTTGGTTGTGCGTTTCTATTTCTGTTGCATGCTTCTTGGTTTGTGTTTCTTCTGAGACATCTGCTGCGCCTTCACTGGTAGAATGTTGTACCCTGTTTAGGGGTATGCCAACTTCGGTTGATATAACTTGTCGTCGTTGACGACCCCGTGCTATTACGTAAGCGCCTTGCCCCCCGCTATCAAGTGGGGCGGGGAGCGATAGGATTAGGCTTGTGCTGGGTCGATTGTTACGTGTAGCATTCACACTTCTATATACTTGCTTTGTCAAGCGTTGGGATCGGTCAGCCCGCCCACGCTCTCTTCGTTCTCATCTCGCTCTTAATAAAGATTCTGAACCACCTTTGCCTTGATTGTCTCAAAAGGGTAAATCACCCAGTCTTCCGCACCCATCCTGGTTAACTGGTGCATCGGCCTAACAGCCAAATTTCCCCCGTCAAAGAGTAACATCTTCGGGGCCTGGAACGAAGACAGCTCTTATCACGAGCACACCCTATACGGTCCTTTTCAAGACCGCGAATCTTAACTGATTCATCCCATATCAGGAAAACTTTTCTCCCGTACTACATACGTACCTGGAGACCTCTTCTGTTGTACCAAACACAGAATTTGCGAAACCTACTCCGGAAGTCTCGTACAGAATGTCGTTGCACTTCCACAAAATCCCGATTATGAACAGCGCAAAAACGCTCAAAAATCTGGTCTCCAGATACGCAGAGTACTCAAGAAAAATAGAATATCCTACAGTAGATGAGGATAGCTATGAAATGTGTAACGAAACCATATCACTACTACCAAGTGGTATTAAGCAAATCAAAGAGGTGAGAGAGAACCTCATAAAACTCTATGAGGAAATAAGAGAAGAGTATAGACATTGCAAAAACAAGTCAGACAAGAAGGATTTATTGCTGGAAATTGAGCAAATTGAAAACGAGTCTCAATTGCACAAAGAATTGGCTAGTGCAGATGAGCTTATCTTCATGTTAACTGCACGACACGATGAATCTAAGTACATGAGGAATAAAATGAGCGTCAAACTCGGCTTCATTTCCCAGAAAGCCTTACTACTTCAGAACGTCACAAATGATAGTCCAGCACAGGGAATTGATCCCGAACAGGATCACATCCTAACTGAAGAAACTCAAAGTAGCGAGAGCAATCATTCTCAAGCTACGCCAAGTTCGGCAGTAGATAGAGCGGAGATTACTGTAGGATCACTTCGATCCATAAAGCCTCCCCAAGCTTCACTGCCCAAATTTCATGGCAATAGCGAGGACTTCCCAGAATATTGGGCGATTTTCGAAACCCTCGTACATAACAGTCATGAACTAGACGTTATGGAAAAGATTTTGCTACTCAAGGAAAGTCTTAGAGGCAGAGCCGAAGCCTCAATAAAAGGAATACAACTCGTACCACAAAACTACGAGTGGATTATCCAAACTCTAAAGGAGAACTACTGCAACCAGCCTGCAAATAGGACACAGGTGGTGCGAAAACTGGCCAACTTGAAGCCAGCAAGCAATTCTGCCGACAGTTGCTCAGCCGTGTTCGACCAAATCCAGATATTAATTAACCAGATGGTGTCCGCCGGCTATGACGTGCGCAAAACCTGTGACCCCATGCGGTATGACACAATAGTGGCAAAGTTTCCACGCAACATAGTGAAACGTGTCCTACTTTCAAATCCTACGCAAGATGGACAACCAATCGAAAACCTCATGGGTCATCTGAAGAAAGAGATTACCGCTATAAGTTTTGTGGAGAGCAGATTAGGCCCCAAGCCTGACATCAAGGGCACCGCTCCGAAAGACAAGTACGTCGACTCACGTCCTTACTCAAGCGACCAGTGCCTGTTCTGTCATAAGGGTAATCATGCCTCATTAACATGCAGAACTGTAACCGATCAAGGGAACCGCAGAAAAATACTAACAGACGGTCGCAGATGTTGGAAGTGTTGCTCTTCCAATCACAGCAGTTTCGACTGCCAAAAACCAGATTGTTCCAAATGCGGACAAAAACACCATTTGAGCCTATGCTTCAAAAAAGAAGGCGTAGGAAATAGAAGTCGAAACAGCAGTTTTGGAAGTGCTGCCGATCAAAACGATTCGAGATCAGGTTACTTTCATCACGAGCAAGAAAACTTNGGAAATTGAAAGAATGAGTGCGAACCAAATTCAAATGTGCGCTAAAACCACTTCATCAAACTCAGAAAAGCGTCCAGCTCCCTCGCAACTCGTCCTAATGACTGCGGAGGGCAACGTTTGGAACCATAAAAAAAGGGGATACGAGAAAATCCTCTTTTTCTTCGACACTGGCGCACAAAAGACAGTTATTGAGGAATCGCTTGCTGACAACCTAGGCGTACAAAAACAGACCACTGAGACCTGCACAATGTCAGGCATAGGAGGTCACATAGAGTGCTTTAAAAGCCACAATGTAATTTTAAAAGTAAGCACAGCGTATGGTGAGGAACTCAACCTGAATGTGCAAACAAAACCAGTGATAACCAGCGGTTTTTCCAGCGTAAACCTGAGCGCTGAGGATGTTTCATATCTAAAGACAAGAAGTATCTGTTTGGCCAATCCAAAACTTCGTGGAGAACATCAGAAACCACATATCCTGGTAGGACTGGATCACTACCACGAGTTGGTAACAGGTCCATTACATTCCTTCAAACTCCCTCTGGGCTACACATAGCGAATACTGTTTTTAGGCCTACCCTATACGGAAAAGGCGTCGTAGAGAAAACAGATGCCACTATCTGTTATGGAATGACCTCTATGCACGAAAGAGCGAAACAAGAAAGGCTGAGAAAGTTGCCCAGACTTGACAGGCGGAGAATTCCGCCTGAATATTGCCAGAAAAACAATGAAGCTGTAAAATATCGAATAAATTCGAAAAGCAATTCGTTTTGCGGTGTGTTCATCAATGAGGCGTTTTCCTCAAGAGACAACGTCCCTCAACTTGATACAACGAACAGTGGCAGTGAAAATACTAACCGCATTGAAGCTGCTTCACAGTTCCAATCGTGTTCAAAAACCCCTGCGAAAGATTCTAGATCCTTAGAAGAGTCTCTAGTGCTTCACGAAGCCGAGGTTGTGAGTAGGTCACAGTCACAGGAATGCTTCTGTGTTAAGAACGTCATTCAGAACAAAAAAAGCACCGAATTTGTGGACCCTAACCGCCACTCAAATTATACTCGATTCAAAAAGCAGTCGATTAAAGCGTACCGGTCGTCATACAAAATCGCTAGCAAAATCTTGTTCGAATAGGACCTTATCCCGAGAAGAAATGTGTCATATGGAAGAATAATGGACAAGGTGACATCCACGGATGGCCTTACGCAATCAGCAAAGGTCCTCATGCAGAAACATATGACTGCACATAGACAGCCGAAGGAACTATTTCTCATGGAAATTCTGAGCTGGAATGATCAAACGAGTGGTACGAGCCGACCAAACATAATCAAGAAACCCATCCTCGTGAAAACAAAGCCGTAGTCATGTAAAAAGTTCTCAAGTTATCTAAAATTCACGTCGGCACAATCACCACTCATCTCTCCTCTTCTTCGCCGTCATCGTCATCCTGTCTCCAACCGTCTCCCTTCAAGCTGTCTACACGCACCAACAAGCTGCACAATTCACCTTTTGTCTACATTTGTCAACGAGCCGCACATCTACGCCAAGCCCTTCACATGCCACGACACGCCGTTTCTCCGATTACAAGCTGCCGACAAAACGCTCAGATTTGGAAGATTTGTTGTGCATGATTTTTTTAGTGCCCCGCGGGAGTGTCGTCGTCGACGACCCCGTACTATTACGTAAGCGCCTTGCCCCCCGCTATCAAGTGGGGCGGGGCGCGGTAGGATTAGGCTTGTGCTGGGTCGATTGTTACGTGTAGCATTCACACTTCTATATACT